CCGATTTATTGTCGGGGACAGTCTTAAGCCGTCGTGAGAAATATTAAACATGTTTAATATTCTACGACGCAACTTCCCCCGACGCACACCATCGCATCTGCGTTTAACTCACACAGACCCGACGCGACAACAAATCGCGTCGGGCTGTGTCGCACGACGCTGTCTGAGTTGGCCTTAAAACATTCTTGACAATATGCTGTATGAGCTGAATATGATCCTTAATTCATGTAAAAGGCATGAATCGCCTACGTTATGACAAACAGATATGCTACTGCAGGGGAAGGGTTGTCTAAAAGTTGATGACGTAACCGTATTAAAAAATATAGTACATACTCTAGGTATTGAAATGCATTATGTCATCATCAGTAACCTATTCGTTACCGTTTTCGTAAGCTTGCAAAAACTCCCTATTATTAATTATTGATGTCTGTGCACGCACGTTTTTTTTTTTTTTTTTTTTTTTTTTTTTTTTGGTGGGTATTTTAAACTTCTATCAACTGTGTATTGTTCTGATTTTTACTGAAAAATATTAAAGTTTCTCAGTCAAGTATTTACGTACAGGTTTTTATGTCACGATATGAAGCACTAAAAATGCTAAGCTATTGAAGTATTGGCGCACGTTTTTGTTGCGATATACTTGTATCGTAGGGTGACCATTTTTATGAAGAGGACGTTAGTAAGTCCCACCATAAAAAAAAAACAACTTGGTTTTACAATAGGTGTCTACTGAGTGCTAGCTTACTGCAGCTTTACAGAACAACTGTTACATATTGCGGTATGGATTTCGTCGTCACGGACTATAAAATTGCATTCCTAATGATGGGAGGCTGTTACCTCATCTCTTTACCAATAGCATGTTCTATTACTTTTGAGGTAAGAAGTGTAGGCCTACTGTAATAAATATTGTTTCTCACCTGTTGATTTCAATAATACATACTTAAGACTCAGATATATGGGATGAGATGGGTGTTTATGCTAAAGTGTTACATACAAAAAAATAGATTTTTTACTAAAAGCGCTTTAATTCTGTAGGACGTGGATACCACACTGATACACTAATTCACGTGTCTTTAACTCAACTACAGAGGTTTTTGTCAACTACCGCAATCTATTTTTCAACTCCGATTGACTTATATTCATTAGATTACTATTTCGCTGTTTTGCGTCAGGAAATTTAACGTGGCGTTTTTGCCCTACGGACGCAAAACGCTAGTCACTAATAAGCGCAAGTTTGGTGATCTAATGGTTATGGCACCAGGCTAGTTATCTGGATGTCGTGGGTTGGAGGGCCACCCGAACTGAGTATTCAATACAATAATACGTCAGGTTGGGCAAAAACATCACTCCTACTATTCATTTATATTCATATTTCATTAGATAAGAATCATCTTTGAGATTGCAGACGCAACATGACCTAACCGATTGCATGCCCTTTTTCACAGAACATATCAAACGATGTAGAATACCATGCCAAGGAGTTTATGAAGCTTCTGATGTCACCAACGCATATATCTGTTTATGTGATTGGAATTTTTGTTGGAACATGTAATGGTTTTGTTTGGTACTTCCTCAACTATCATCTTGAAAACCTAGGTAACAATTTAAAAAACTTCTAATTAATAAATGTCTTTAAGATGCAAGGGTGAAAAAGAGTGATCGAGTGTGTCTACTCCGTCACTCCAATAGAGTGGCATAGGTACTGTAGAGCGAGATTTCACAACATTCAGAGTGAGTTTTACTAATGTGTTTATTATTATGAAAAATAGGCCTAGTAGGCCTAGTCACTCTTTTAAGAGTGAATATTTCACTCGAGAAGATTGGGGTGTCTCTGCAGCACTCTTTTGAGTCTAAAATTTACATGTAAAATGATGAAGTATAAAGAAATTCGGATAAAGCCCCTGATGAGGGGCATATGCTGTGACACACACCGAACCAACGGCTTAATGTCCCATCTGAATACTAAAGCAATTGTAGGAAAGTGTCTATCGACATTAGTCTCGAATTTGGTCCGCCTCGCATTGAAGTCCAATTCCCTAACACCGTTCGTCTCATTGGCCCTCAATAACTGTTTTATAATAGCTCTTTGTTGCCGATATTACCATATATCGTCATTTGAATCTTTTAACGTTGCATTTTAATTTTCTCAACGTATACGTAAAGATAATCTTTCAATTTATTTGTAGGTGCAACTCAACTGTTAATGGGGATAGCAATGACAGTTGGAGCTCTTTCCGAGATAGTGTGGGGTTTGTTTTTCCAGTTGAAAGCTGTTGAGCGATTAGGCCACACAAAAATACTGGTCATTGCATTAGCCTTGTATTGCATTCGATTTCTAATCTATGCTGTACTACAAAATCCACTTTGGATTCTCCCGGTTGAGATTATTCAAGGTAATGCATATAATTTTAGTTACTTTTTTGACATTAATGTAGCTAAATATTTAAACGATGTCATTATTAATCAGAAAGTCAGGAATAAGGTGCGTAGTTTTAAGTTCGCGTGTCAGTTAGTAGTCAACACATAGATATAATAATTATATCAGAGCAAAGTGGGCTTGGTCGGGCGTCGCTCAAATATTTTGAAAGTGGTCCGGGAGCGAAGTCCCCGAAAAATATGATAATTTAGGGGTTTCAAAGGCTTATTTAATCGATTTAAGAGTCTACTAATATGTAGAAAATGCATATAATTTTTCCCCCGACGAATTATAGCTTTTCTCCCATCTACACGCTTGCTGGTCGTTCACACTAGCATCCGTCAACCGCAAACGAAAGAATGGCTATCAACTATTATCTCTTTATCCCCTTTGTTTAAACGTTAAGCTCCGTTGCTTGAGTTTCTTCCTCCATGATTACAGGTGTTTGTTCACACTGATAGTACGTACTAGCGTATGCGTGTAATTTAGGCTTGCGTAACGCGTCTAAATATCTCTAGCGTGAAACTTTACGTTACACGAGACATTGACGTCATTCCAAAACGTTGCTAATGTACAGGTTATTTTATTTATTTTTTCTTTTAGGAGCGTCATATTTTGCCGTATGGAACACACTCGTTTCCTACACAGTGCACTCATTCCCACCCCAGTTTCTCGCAACCAGTATTTCGTTTCTTAACGCAATATTCCAAAATCTTGGATTAGGAATCGGAACATTCCTGAGTGGCTATCTAATCTACCGATTCGATGCAGCTACAACTTGCTACATCTATTGCGTGGCGTCCCTCTGTTTTCTTGTATTGTTTATCATCGTACGACGAGTAAGTTAATATATATGTATAGGCCTAATTATAATATGGCCTTTTTATGCGCATAATGCAACTGTATTTAGGCCTATCATTGTGTATAAATCTGTTTCTGAATTGTTTGACCCTATTTGAATCCACAATTAAATCAATATTCGTATCTGCTATTCGTATAAAAAAGTTTATCCATTCCGCCTACCTAATACTTTAAATCATTTTTCTGATTACAGATATTCACTAATATGGAGCCAGAAATTGAGTCGATGAATTTGATTGCAAAGCAGGAAGAGGAAAAGAGAAAGACTAGCGAAAGTGAGCAAAGCGTACCTGCTGGTACGCCACCAACGCCAGGTGTAGTGCCAGCTCCTACCTTTCGCAGAAAATCATACAGTTCCATCGACGACAGTTCTTAGGATGCTGCAATCACTCCCACCTACTATAGATAAGTGTTTATATAGAAATATGTAATGTTTATATCAAACATCCTTGCCACATAGCAATATAGACCTAGACAACATTAAAGGAACAATATATTATATTTTTCTAAATAATGTATTGTATTGTATTGTGTATGGAGTGAATATTATTTAAATGATATGCCTATATTTTTTTGAATGTCATCAACATTAACCGTATAATTAGGTGAAAAGCTTTAGTGGAGGTACTGATCTAAATAATACAGTAACTCAACAAAATTTTTCATTAACTTCAGTTAATCTGCTGGTGTGGACTTTCACGCCCTCCCTACCGCTAAATCCTGCATTCGCACCAGATCTGCAAAATCCTGTTAAACGCAATACCATCATCAATATCGGCATTACCATCACCATCACCATCATTATCATATCATCGTCAGGGGTGGCGTTAGTGGGAAGGGGAGCAGGGTCCCTCGCCGAGGAGAGTCCCGCCCCCCACCCCCCGTTGGGAAGAATTGAAACTACAATTGGTCGGGGAGAGAAAAAATATAGGCCTATGTATTTTCTACATATTAGTATACTCCGAAATCGATTAAATATGCATTTGAAACCACCAAATTGTGCCTTTTTTTCTTTTTTCGGGGACTGGAACATTGACACCCCCCCCCACCCCGCATGTCACCACCACTGATCATCATCAACAATTCACTGTTCCTGATTGTACAAAGTTCCACTGTGTAAAAGATAAGTTCCATCTTCCAACATCATCATTATCTTCGACGTCAACTCATTATTTGACATCCGAAAAGGGGTCAGTTCGTATTTCCAAACATTAAAATCCTTATGTATAATTCTATATTTCTATAGAATTGACGAAGTTACAGTTACATTTGAATTTAAATAATAAAAACTGTTGTATACAATGTATAAGTGTTATTATGCTAAATCTTGACTATTGGCTGATTGATCGGGGGAAAAAAACAACTCCACAATTCCACTTTTCAGTTCACCAATAAATTTAATTGAAGGACAACATTGCACATAATCATAATTCACAAAGATATATTTTTGATAAACGTACCTCCATAGTAATAGACCTTTCCGATAAGCCCCGCACTCTGGATATTGTTGCTAAGGACCCACAAAACAATATCGAACATATGTACACACGTGCGTTTGTGGGACACAACACGTGTGCTCCTGGGACATGCGAGCATTCATGGCCTTGTTCTGATTGGCCAGTTGTTAAGTTTGACTGAAACTCCGGAAAGACCCATTGTTCAAGCTTCCAGCTACAAGGTATACGCACCCTCCAATCGTCTGTTTAGGATACGTAGATATTAGATAGTTTTCGCCGCACGACATTTACCTTAACTTTAACGTTAGTACCCAGCATGCAACGCGATAGCTCCGCCCTTTTTGTAAACAAATCGAAATACGCATGCGCAAACCCGTAACTAACGTTCGTCGAGCACGTAAAATCCTGGAATTAACGTACTCAGCAACGCAAGATGAATAAATTATGACGTCATCCGTTAGCGTTAAGGATAACGTCGTGCGGCGAAAACTGCCTATTACGTAACGGA